GTTTTGTTTTGGCCTTGGCTGAGAGGGGAGATTGGCGGGTGAGGCATGTCATGGGGTAAGATTGTCATCTGATGAACTGACCTACTTTGATAGTTTCTTTTTCTCTCTCTCCCTTCTCCCCCTACTTCTTTCTTTTATACCTCCAGCACTTTTAAGTGTTATAGACAAATCATGACCTGTCTATTAATTTCATGTGATTGAGACAAACATCAAATGCTACCATCTTAAGGTCATAATTGAAAGAACGCAGCTTTTTCGAGTCTGTGGGAAGGCTAGTATTTGCAGAGCTCTGGACATCAGTAACATCTGACAGATCTGTAGGTGGTAAATTGAATGAATGGGATCTATCATGTGCTGGAGAGTGGCTTCTGTAAATAGGAAATTAATGTGGCCTACAGTGAGTCAGATCTGAAATAATGGTGTTGAACACTATTGACTCCCACTCAGGTATTTTAAGGACTAAGTCAGCCATGCTTAACCCCTTTCAAAATGCAAGGTACTAGAATATAACAGGTGGTGACCCTGAAGCATTATCTGTCCCCTTTGGGTTCATTTGCATAATACACACACAAGCCAGTACAATCAACATTTATCAGCTCATGCCCTTGAAAATTAAGGGAGCCATTTCATGAATGCTTATGTGGGATTGCCTTTTCCCTGTTTCTCCAATACAGAGCCTTGGGTCCTGTCATTCTCCCTCCTGTCCTGTTCCCATGAAGATACTCCTACCTTCCTAGCAAAGCAGAGGGAAGCACTTTGCTCCCTGTCCATGACAGCCAGGTGCTTCCCCAAGCCAAACAAGTTCTTCCTTCCTCTCTGAGTTTAGTTTCTCAGAAAATTGGAAAATCATTACTAGCATATGAGGTTTTTAAGGCATTTTTTTAATGATTAAAAAAAATCTCAAGTAGTTAACCCTATAATGATGCTGTAATTGATCGCACAATACAAGTGCCTGAAACGGGGGATCATCAGTCTGAACCTTCTTTTTCACTTGGGTCAGGGAACTGCTGTGCTTCTGGGGGGCTCTTATGGCGAGGATAATAATACCCCCTCCTCAGCAGAGTGAGCTGCCCCACTCTCAGCTCTCCTTCACAGTTGTGTTTGTCGCGCTCTTGGGACGTGGGGCTCTGAGGCAGCCTTTTCTGCTCCTCAACACTACTATGCAGCTGTGCTTTGCAAGGGGGCCCCTGTTCTGGATTGGAGGTGGGTAATCTTCCCCACAGCGCTCTCTTGTCAGCCTTGAGCATTTAAAGTGCAAACGTGGTTGGCAGCAGTTGATGTGCCCTTGTTCACCCGCCTGTGCTCATCCATTAGCTGTCTTCGATTGCAGGCAGTTCACCAGGCAAGTACAAGTTCTGGTCCTGTAAGTGCTGGGAGCTGGGTGTTCCTTGTCTTCACTCCCCCAAAGCAGCAGGGGTTCCTTTTTCTCTCCTGTGTAGCTCTTGAGTCCAGTTTAAAAAAATAATATCCCCTTGATGCCTCTGCCAGGAGTGTACTAAACTTACCGAGGAACAGCCATTTATCACATACCTGTCATGAGGAAGGAAGGCTCTGCCTCTCTATTTTCAATTCTCATATCAACTCTGGGAAGTAGGCATGGAGTCAGAAAGATCTGGATTTGAATGTTAATGCTGCCATTCCCCACTCTGTGACCTGAGATACCTTAAGTGACCTGAGTTTTATTTCCCAACTGTATAATGAGGATAATAATACCCTCTCCACAGGGTTGTGAGATGTAAGCAGACCTTTTACATGGCTCCTTGGCATATAATAAATGCCTAATAAAGGTAACTACTACCACAGTGACTTTGAACTTGGCCAGACTGCTTGATTTATCCAAGGTCACACAACTAGTAAGTGGTGGAATGGGGCTGACAATTCAAATCTTTTGAAATCTATTTCCTTTTCATTCTCTCCTCCTTTAGCAGTAAAGACTCTGTTAGTGCCAGAGCCCCACGAGACAGAAATTGGAGCCCTTGGGTACTGCGGCGAGGAGCTGTGCAATTAAACTCTGAGGCTAATAATAATAAAAAAAAATCATGTCTCTTGAGTACTACTATACAGTTGGTATGTGCAAGGCACTTGGCATGAGTTCTCGAATCTTCTGAATGGTGCTTCATCCAAATTTAGACATTGGTGTTCTGAGCCAATATCATTGACCACATGAAGAAAATGCCCAGGAAAATGGATGCAAGTAAAGCCACGTTGCCATGTTTCAGCTGGTAGTATGCTGACCCGAGTGGCATGAGCAGTTAATGAGGGACATTGGCCAGGTGTCGGGCCCTGGGCATTAAAACCAACAGATGCTTCCTCTTGCCTTACTGGAATAGCTGGAGAAACTGGGAAAGGAACAACATCCTTACTTGCTGCACTGAGTGCCCTGTCTGTCTGCCACCTGATTCCACAGATCTTTATTTCCTGTTGAGGGAAATGCCACCATGCAACAGCTGGCCTGGAATTGTTAGCCCATTTCATAGGTGGGCTCGGAGAGAGATGTAACTCACCCAAGGTCACAGTCAAATAAGTGGAAAAGATAGAGTTAGAATTGAGATCTTTTTGAAGGAAACATGAGAAATGTGTCAAACCTTAAAAGGTCTGATGATGGGGGGGCTATCTAGGAGCACAGGTGTGTTGGCTTGAGTGCTCTGTTACAAGTCCATTGGCCATTGACCTCACTGAGTGACTGAGAAGCTCGGAGCCTGAAAAAATGACGTCCTGCTGGGTGCAATGACACATGCCTGTAATCCCAGCAGCTCAGGAGGCTGAGACAGGAGGATTGTGAGTTCAAAGCCAGCCTCAGCAACGACAAGGCCCTAAGCGACTCAGTGAGACCCTGTCTCTAAATAAAATACAGAATAGGGTTGGGATGGGGCTCAATGGCTGACTGACCCTGAGTTAAATCCCTGGTACACCCCCCACAAAAAAACCAGACATCCTCGGGGAGGGGATGGTAACCTAAGTGCCTAAAAGGGGCAGGAGGGACTCCTAACAGGTGGCTGTCAAGTGCTCCCTGCAGCTCTGGCAGCTGGGCTCTGGCAGTGGGTGCAGTTGCCTCCCTGCTTGAAGTGCTATTGGCTGGCTTGCCATGGAGAGTGAGGGTCTAAGAGGATGGACCTGAGGCTGTCCCAAGCATGCTGAAGTCATTGCTGGAGAACATTGCCCCCAGGGAGACACAGAATGTCTCAGACACTGGAGTTCTAGAAAAAGAGCCCAAATTCAAATCCTAGTTACTCCATGAGGTTCCTTAGCATGGCAAACAAAGGGCGATACTTCCCTCTGCACACCCTGGTTTTGTAATGTGACAAGTGGGAAGGTGCCAGCCATCACTTTCAGGATTGACTGAAGACCTGAGCAGTGAGTGAAGACCTGAGTCCCTGGCAACATTGCTGGTTTTTTCTTCCCCTCCCCGTCTTCAGTCAGGTACATACATGCTGCCTTATATCTTCCATCTCCTTGCAGCCCCCTCCCCCCAAAATGATATTTCCTTGAAGATATGGGTGGAGGCCAGTAAGTATCTGGGCAAGATGGGGAAAGAGAACTGAAGCCCACATTCTTCCCTCGGGAGTGCTGGTAGCTGACCGCGTTCAGCCGAGTCTCCTTCGCTAACCCTCTTGACTCAGTGGGCCGTGACCACAGGGCTAAGCAGCTCCAGGCTCCAGCCTCAGCTCAGGCTCCCATCATGACTCCATCTCAGCTCATTTTCTCCTTCCCCTCCCTCTGCAGGCGTGGCTGGCGCACACAGATAAACTCTGGCAAATCTGTCTCAGGATCCGTGTTGCAGAGAGTCCGGCCTTGGTGCCATCTCCACACATATCCTGGTGTCCCTGAATTTGGTGCACAAGCCTGCCTCCTGCTACTAGGAGCTGGGAGAGAATGGTCCAGAAGCCACGTGGCCTAGATTAGAGTCCCACACTCCATTGCTTGTAGCTCCGTGGACTTGCAGATTAACCTGTGGAGCTCAGCTCCCTTATCTGTAACATGAGCATAATAATATTATCATAAACTGTGGCCTATGGAGATAACTCAGGTCGTGCCCTTAGGCTAGAGCCTGGTACACAGTGACAGGCAGCAGCATCGGGCATCAGTAGGAGCCCGGACTGCTGAACACCCGCTTCTCCATTCCCAGTTTTTTGGGTTTCCTTGGAATCCCACAGTCCTGGCTCACCTACTTTTCTCAACATCCTTCCTCAGCTTGGCTGACTCCTTCCTGTAACTGTAAACACACTTCCCCTTCTGTCCCTCTCCTCTCCCACCTCCTTTTCTTCCTCCACGCTCTCCCCCTTCAGTGAGCTGCCCTTGGTGGATGCGTGTACTTGTTAAGTGACGCAGTGCAGTCTGTGAGGGGGACCAGCAGACTTGTCATTTGCATGAATACCCTCAGGGATTCCCATTTGGGCTGCTCCAAAAGTCAGCCTGTCAGAGCTTTTGAATCATGTTAGTCATTTTGTTTGTAACTTATGCCCTTGAGGAAGGGCACCCGCCTGTCTGGTAATTGTGCTATTGTCAAGGCTGATGATGCAGAGGGGGTGGGGGGAGATGGGAATCTACTGTATGAGGTTCTAAGACAAGAGGCTGCATCAAGTTCCAGAATAATGAGGACACATGATTGTTCTCTTCAGTTTTTTAGACTGTTTCAATAAGGTCTCTAAATCTCAGTTGTTTATACAAGCATCATAAGATTTCTAGGAAACCTTAAAATCCATGGACATTATGTGCGACTGTGTTAGTCAGCTTACATTACTGTAACAAAATACTGAGGTGATCAGCAAGGGAAAAGGCTCACTTTAGCTCCCTGTGTCAGAGGTTTCAGTTCATGGTCACTTGGTCCTGTTTGTCTGTAGCACAGTGTACCACATTGGAACACTTGGGAGAAGAAGCCTGAACACCTCAAGCAGGCCAGGAAGGAAAGGAGAGGCGGGACCAGTCCCAATAGCTCCATCTAGGGCACACCCCAGTGTCCTCACTTCCTCCCACTAGGCCCCACCTCCTAAAGGTGCCACCTCCCAACAGCACCACAGGAGGAGAACCAACCCTTTACCACATGTGCCTTTGGGGGACAATCAAGATCCAAGAAGTTCCAGCAGGTACAAAATTACAGTTAAATAGGAGTAAATTCTATCGTTCCAAAGCACAGCAGGGTGGTGACAGTTAATCATTTACCATGTATTTCAAAATAGCTAGAAGAGGATTTTGTTCCAAAGAAATAAGTGTTTTCAGTGGTGGATATGCTTATTACCCTAATTTGGTCATCATACATTGTAGACATGTATCCAAATGTCACACTGTACCGCATAAATAAGTACAATTATTATGTATTTTTTTTTTTTATTAAAAAAGCATTCTAGCTACGTGGGAGGCTTAGGCAGAATTGCAAGTTCAAGGCCAACCTGGGCAATTTATCAAGGTCCTGACTCAAAACAAAATTGTTAAAAAGAACGAGGGACATAGCTCAGTGGTAGGGCAATCCTGGGTTCAATCCCTAGTACCGGAAAAGGAGGAAGGAAGAACGGAAGGGAGGGAGGGAGAGAGGGAGGGAAAAGAAAGGGAAGGAAGAAAAGGAGGGGGAAGGAGGGAGGGAGGAAGAAATTCTACTAATGTCTGTTTTGGATTCAGTTGTTTGGCATCCAAATCAAGGAAAATAGTTTCTGGCTCCACAGTTCTAAAAATGTGCTTTAGGAGAAGAAGAGGGAATGGGACTGTGAGAGGAAAAGATTAAACAGAAAACCATGAAGAGAGAAGGAAGAGGAGGGAGCAAACATTAGTTATTGCCAAGTGCTCAGGACCTGACACATGTTTCTCTTTAATGGTCACCAAGGCTCTGTAAGGATAGAGTGCTGTCCCCATTTTGCAGATGGAACGGTAGACCCTTCCTAAGACTGTTCAGGTTGCTGCCGCCCAAGGCCCTTGGTGCGAATCCCACCCTGTTGGAAGAGCTAGCCTGTCGAGGAGTAACTTTTCGTAGCTCTATAATCAACTTCAATTTCTGTTCTTACCCTCGTGGTGTGTATGGTCAATGCTACGCGGTTGTGAGTAAGATATACCAAAGTAATGATCTTGATCTGTTCATGTCAAAGCAGTGAAAGTTTTATGATACATTCCTACCCCCATCCTTTTAATTCAGAAAACTTTTGCAGCGCTTCAGTTCTAGCTGTTCCTTTCCATACCATCTATGGTTCAATCCTTTGTGGCTACATGAAGTGAACCTACTTACAATCAACCTTGTGAGCTTAGAAAACTCTGGAGGCGGGGCGAGGTTATAAGATTTGGGTGCTAAGATAAGGCCTGCGTTGCCAGCCAGGGCGATCCTTTCATCTCTGGGCATGGACAGTTCTTGCTTTCATAAGAGCCTACACTGCACGACTTCTTATTTGATGCCTTCTTATAATGGCTACAAAGATAGGAAAAGGAGAAATTGTTTTGAAGAAGAGAATTTAGGAAAGAAATGAAGATGTTTCCTTTGCTCTATGCTTGATTAAAAAAAAAAAAATCTGAACAGCTGAATTGTGGTCTTTTTGGCTTTAAAGAATAAAATTCCCAAGGCTTTGTGTTGGACTTTTGTGGGTCTCTGACTGGCTGTAATCCCAGTCATCTAAGCTGTGTGGTTGCAACTGTTCATATTGGCAGTTGAAAGTAACATGTCGCTGATAAACAACAACCACCACCTCAATAAACATATCAAAAATGAGGCACTTTTAAAGTGGAGTGTGGGGTAGGACCTATGTTGGTCTCATCGTGGTTTGCAAGGGATGATGCTGGGTTTCCATGAACCTCAGATTTGAGGAACTTTTCCAAGATTCTTCTTGGTTCCCTGGAGTCCCGGGGTTTCATAAGGTCAAAGAAAGTCATTCTAGAGTACATCTGAGGACAGATACAGCCCAAAGCATCAATTTTGCTTTCTCCCTTTATTCCTACCTGTCAAATATTCTCCAGTGTTGTTCTTAAGCAAGCAATTCTTTGTACTTTTCTGCTCAGACTTTCTAAATAAGGGGCTGAACCATTTGCTTCAGAAATAAAATGTTCATAGGATTTCTTTCCTATGGAAACCCACCTGCAGGAATAAAGTCTGGATCCTGCCTGCAGTGAAGAAACCCATGGAAATATCTTGCAAGTGGACCTGGCCATCTTGCCCCTACCCATCCTTCCCAGTTCACACCCTTCTCGGGTTCTGATTTAGAAGCACTTAATTAGGGTGCTAATTAGAACCTAATCAGCTTGCTAATGAAGTAGCTGACAGCCTGGATCAATTTTAAAAGGAGAAAGCATCCGGGGCCTTTTATTTGTGCCTTGGACAGGAGATGACACGCTCTTTTTAATTGCTTTGAAATAGGCTTTGCTGAACAAATCAAACTCTGTCGTTCACGTTGGTCACATTGCCTGTGCCAGCAAGAGGCTGAACTGCAGCAAGAGGGACGCCTTCGTACTTTGGAAAGCAAGGTTTGTCTTTCTTTGTGCCTGATGCATATGCAGCTTACCCTTGTAAGGGGATTCTGCTGCCCAGTGATCCCCCTTCCTGAGCTCTGAGCTTCTGAGATAATCGCTATAAATCCCGACTAAGCTGAATTATTTGACCAGCACATCTCCCATAGTGTGTATATATTTATCTATCTGAAAATGTAACAGTGACCATTGAAACCAAACAGATATTTGAAATAATATCCCCTCCCAGCTTTTTTTTCTAACCTGAATGCTGGTCTCTAGACATAGAACTCTAGGTTTTGATTATTATTTTTGCAGAAATTACAATAGTAGTGTATTCTGACATAGTAGACATCGCTCAGCAGGACATGAGGTTGCGCTCTAGGCTTTGGTCACCTTGCCCACCTGCAGATAGAAGAGTAGGGCCTGGTGATGGGAAGAAAACTGAGACAAGGGAAAGGGAGAACAGGCAGACAAGGTAGCTGGGACCTGAAGGCAGGAGAGGCGTGCAGGTGCCAGGAAGTGGCACAAGTGTATAGAGGCAGCTTCAACACTTAAAAAATGCATTCTGCACACCTCTGTGTGTGCTGGGCTCTGTGCTGAGCACGGGTGGTAGGGCAGGGGAGAAAGCTTGACTCTTTGGAAGACAGACACTGAACAAAGAATTGTAAATAATCCAGTGTGCCAGGGCTACGGAGGATCAGTTCTGGGCCCTGCAGGCATGTCCCACATGGACACTGCAGATTTCCTGAGGAGTAAGTCCACACTGAGAATAAAGGTCAAAGAAGAGGTGCCTGGGCAAGGGAGGCACAGCAGGCCTGGTGCACGGGACGTGAGCAGGAGGAAGACAGCATGTATTGTTCTAGAAACTAAGAAAAGTCCTGCGTGTTGGAGCAGCAAGGAGGGAAGGGTTTCATGATTGAGGCTGGAGAGGTGCCCAGTCACTCACAGCTTTCAAGCCACTTGAAGGATTTTGGATCCTAAGGGAATGGGAAGCCATTAAAAGATTTAAGCAGAGGATTTTTTATGATCAGATTTGTATTCTTGAAATATCCCAGCAGCTGTGTGGAGAGAAGGTTTTTAGGAGGCTGGGTGGGAGGTGGGGATCATCCAAGAGGGTCTCACTGCCGATGGTGGGAATGGAGAGGTGGGTGGCTCAAGAGAGCGGCAGAAGATAAAAACAAGCCAGGAGAGAGGAAACTGGTGGCTGATGGAGTGTTGGAGCCAGGAAGGAGGAGGAGTCAGGAGTAGCTTCTAAAGGTGTGACTTGAGCAACCAAGTTTATGGTGGGACCATTTCCTGTGCGTAGCAGAGGTGGAGAGAGGAGAATTGAGCTGGGATGGGCAATGAGGAGTTGAAGTCTTGGCCATATTGAACTTGAGGAATCAATTAGTGATGTCACAGAGGACTGTGGGATGGCTGGTTATAGAGCCCCACAGAGCTGCAGAGGTGGGGTTCCTGGCCAAACAGGTGGGCTGTAAACCTAAGCTCCAGGAACTCCCCTTAGACAGAGGGGAGACTGAGCAGCAGCTCAAACCCAAGCAGACCCCCGAAGCATCCAGCATTTAATGGTCTTTTAGAAGATGATGAATCAGGAGTAGACTAGGAGACCAAGAAGCGGCTGCCAGAGACAAGAGCAGACACATAGATGCTTCTCATAATCAAGGTTTTGTGAGCTAAGAGATGGCTGTGAGTGGATAAGCACTTAGCACCAACCATGTGGCTTTCAAAAATGTGTAGCGACAACCCCTCTGAAAATAAAGCCTTCTACAGGTGACACCTGGAAGGGTGGAGGCTGAGATGGAGCCCTCTTGCTTGACCTTCCGTTCTGCCTCCGCCCCACTCTCACCTCTGAACCCAGGGCTCTGGGAAGGACACGGGAACAGCCCTGCCCTAGAGGAAGCCCACTTGGCCTGCTGGGTCTGGGCTCCTCCCAGCAGGATGGTCACAGGCTCTGTTCTAAGGCTGCTTCACATGTTGCCCCACAAACCAACCAAAGCGCCTTGGTGTTGGAAGTTGGAAAGCATCTGGGAGCCACTTAAGATACCTGTGCCCCATCCCCCACCAGTTAGTGCTTCAGGATCCTTCCATCTCCAGCTTGGACGTTTATTTCATGAACCGTTCTATGCCCACAGTTCTACACTGAGCACGCCTCCCCGGGGCTGCGTGTCCCCTTAAACATGCACTGGTCACACTAACTACTGGGACCATCTGTTTACACACCCTTCCCCCTGCTGAACTTTGAGTTTCTGAGGGCAGGATCCAGACTTTTAAATCTCAGCCAGGATAGCGCCTGGCACTGTGTATGTGTCCACAATGGTGGCTAAGTTGAATTAAATCACATCGAGTTAAACTGGAAAAGACCTCCAGTGGCCTCTTGTCCTTCCTTCCTGTGCCCGGGGGTGAGGGTGCCCTCCTGCTCCTTGCTGGCAGAACTGGTTCTAGAATCTGGACTTCCGGTCCAGTTTTCTCAGATGGGTCTTCAGTGCTCAGGAGCCCAAAAGAAGCATTCTCAGCCCTGAGTAAATATGCAAATGTGCGAGAAACCTCCCTCCCTGTAAGCTGTAGGTGGCTCTCGCTGGCTTAAATGGTGCCATCTCAGCATCACCCACCAGACCCACTGCGCAAAGCTACTTTCTTTGGAGTTGCTTTTATAAGTAGAAGTGTGACTCTCTCTCCTCCTTGTCCTCACCACCTGTCACGGTGCTGGCTCCTTAACTTCTGATTCTCACCTTTGAAAGGCCATTGCTCACATTTCCTAGTAGAAGTGCTTGTTTTTCACCTCTTACAGGCTCTGGCCCAAGTGCAGTTCCAGCATAGAGGCTTCTGGGGCTTTCTCTGTGCAGAGAAGGGTTAGGAAATTCCTTGGGGGAGTAAAACTGGCCTCTTCCCTGGCAACAGAACAGTGGTTCTTTTTCTGAGGAGTGGTTGGAGAGGGTTTCTGAAGAGCCGTCCTCCCGAGTACAGGCCCACACACTCCTCTTTCGCAATCTTGATGGCAGTGCAGTGACCCTTGATATAAAAGGAACGGGCTGAAGGGCCTCGCGTCTCTCCGCTCACTTCTGCCTTCCACTTACCATCTCCCAGCATCAGCCTCGGTTTCCTCTTGGAGTTTTTCTTCTGCTATCTTGGCCCCCGGCTTTGGACCAAGAACTGTCATCTCCTACCAACTTTGTTGAGGAGGTGGAAAAGGCAATGGGAAAGGCAAGCTAGGCACCTGAGCCTGCATTCAAGCCCCACGCTCGGTCTGTCTCCTAACCTCTGCGAGCCTCAGTTTCCTCCTGTGTGAAATGGGGCTACCATGATGCTTCTTTCTTAGGGCAGTTGTGAGGACTAGTGAAAGTGTCTGTTAAGCCCCCCTGCAGAACGCTCAGCCTAGGCAGTTTCCTAATAAACATCTGTTGTTAATAAACCAATGGCTTTTAGGTGAGACCGTTACCGTTTTGCTGATTCTAAACCTGATAGCACATCCAGAGTGTTATGATTGGTCCATCTCTCCACCATCTTCACAGCACCGGGTGTCTGGTGCAAATAAATGGTGTGTTGCTCTAATTATGATTTTGTCAGTATTGCTATTGTGATGCTTATTGATGGGAAGGTCTCTTTGAAAGATAGATTCTTGGGGGAAAGTACTTACTTGTAGATGAACACACCCAAAGAATGAAGCCTCGATTGCTTTATGTATTTTGTGTTTGAAAAATATGTATTAACTTGTCAAAATAAAAAGAAAAAAATGCTTAACTAATGGTGACTCTTGGACAAATCTAGTCTTGATTCCGTAGCTACTCAGGGTATCCTTGGCAACTGTTTGGGGGAGAGCTGAGTGTCCCCAGAGCACTGCTTTCAGAGGGAGGACACAGAAAGGTTAAACTTCAAAGCTCTTTGTGTCTGTCAGCCTGTGTCTGTAGGCAATGTGTGCTTTTTAGAGAGCCTTTTGAATTACAGGAGGGTGTGGGTGGCCAGATTTCTTTTCTTGAATAGCAATATTACACTTTTTAAACTAATGTCTGGTCTTGATTAAATGGCCTTCTGGTTAAGTGGTGGCACATAACAGTGTTTTAACCCTGGTTTAAGAGCAACCTTAGAGTTTCTCTTTCTTTATATCTTTATACTGGAAGCTGTTACTTTTCTATTTCCAGGCCTTCCCTGCAGGCGCTGTGCTTCTTGAGTTAGGCCATTGGCAATACCAACTACCATGACTGATTCTTTTTATCTTTTGTGCAGAACTGAGAATTTGCAGAATTTAAGTTTTTGTTTGGGTACAAAACAAAATTCTCATGTCATTGCACATGAGAGTATACTCTAAGGAAATAATCAGGAACACCAAAAAGCTGAGGAAATTAAGCTCAGGCTTCCCCATAAGAAGAAAACTCGGGAAATGCTTACAGTGTCCAGCAATGAGGATGTGGTTCAGATCAGAGTACCCCATAAGACAGGCGTTTTATAGAGCCACTAAAACTGTATTTTGGAGTAGAAGATGTGGGAAAATGTTCTTAATGTGATGTTAAAGTAGGGCACCAAACCATGTGTTGAGCTTGTTCTTGACTCAGAGCAAAAAAGATATACAGAGGAAAAGATGAAAGGAAAATTACTAAGCTGATTATTGTACCCAAGTTGTCGCTTGGGCGTGGGACTGTGATTTTTATTTTATGCTTTATATTTCCCCATGTTTTCTAATTTTTCACAGAACACATAAGTTACTTAAATTTAGGTAAAAGTTATTTAACAAACGCACAGACAGAATCTTGTAGGTTCTGGGATGTTGATAGTGATAGAACCTTCAAATTAGAAATTGGCCTTGAGTGGCGGCTGTTGGATATTAATGTTTAGCTCTTATATAACATGTTGTGGGAGGTTTCTGGAGCATTTTATAGCACCTGAGCTCATTTGCATACTGTCCCTGTGTGATAGGCAGCAGGCACTGTAACGATTTTATGGATTAAAAAGGAGGGGGCACAGAATGAGCACTGCATTTTGTCTCTGTGATGTGTTTAGGCTGTGACATCGGGGTCCAGGTAAGGACATGGTGCTCCCATTCCTCATTCACTGACAGCCATCAGGAACCTTGGAAATGGTGTGGAGTCCACTGCCTCTCCAAGAGGAAACTCAGGTGAACAGGGAGCTGGCCTGCTGTTGAAACGCACACTCCTTGCCTTGTTAGGGTGGAGGATGTTCTAGAGATTTTTGGTTTAACATAGAACATTATTCCTTCAGAGGATATTAGAGAAGGGGAAGGAGACCCTGAACTATCACACATTGGACTGGAGGAGACAGGGTAGGTGAAAGGCTGTTCGCAGCCAAGGGACTCCCTGCTTGCTGAATTCCCTAACTGATCCATGGACCTTCTCACTCCCTGTGACAGTCACATTGTAGCCCCTCTTATGTGAATCCTCAACCCCATTTCCTGGTTTTTCTATGCGCCTTGGTGTCTTTCGCATCCCAGCCTACCTGTGATAACTCAATTTTCAGGGTCTACACCCCTTAAGAAGATAGAAGAATTCTAATCTTCTCTCCCTCCAAGTTTTCTCATGTACTTCTACCAGATGGCAACAGTCTCATTTCTATGTAAATACACAGAGTCCCCAACAGTCAGTAACTCTGATATTTTTATCAGTGATTAATGAAGGCTGAACTTTTTCTTTCTTTTTCATAGCACTGAAAGAGTGTGCAGGGATTTTAAAAAAAAAGGGACAAGCAATGATTAATGTGGTGATGCTCTGTTTAGAGTAAACAGATAACTGGGCAGGTTGAATGGAAGGTCTCCCTTTAGCTGCTTGCTCCTCCAACTGTAAAAATAAGGTAATAACAATGATATAATAGCAGCTGCACTAGTCAGGGGAGGGTATGCTGTGCTGCAGTAACAAGTAAAGCTAAAAATATTATGAGCTTAGTACAGCACAAATTGTTTTTTTTCCCCTTAAAAAACATCTGATGTGCATCATTTGGGCCTTCCTGCATCTGGGGACTTTGGAGTGCAGGTGTCTTCTCTCTACTGTTGCCACTCTCTTAACATGTGGCATCTAGGGTTATAATGAGGCAAGGAAGGGAGTGTTAAAAGGGTCATACACTGGCTCTTAAATTTTGTGTCCAGAAATGACATGTCACCTCTACTAATATTTCATTGACTCCAACCAGTCATATGGCTCTGCCTAGCTTCAAGGGGATTGGAAGTTTAGGAGCGTACATGGGCCACTAGGTGACCCCCAAGTGTCTCTGCCACCCTATGACCTTATCCGAGCCATTCCTATGTGCTAGGCACCATTCTCAACATTTTACATGGATGGTCCCATTTATTCCCCAACTTTTTGAAGTCATTACAAATGTGTCCATTATACAGATGGTAAACTGAACCACAGAGAGGCCGGGTTTTTGCCCACATCTTATGGCTAGTCAGTAACAAAGCCAGGAGTGAAGCCAGACAGTCTGGCTCTAGGGCCTAAGTTTTCAGCCTCTGTACCTGTTGCCTCCCTAATAATCTCTCTCGGAGGGACTTCTGTAAAATTATAGACAATGTAAATAAAACACCTGCTGTGCAGTGTCTGGGCATGTAATAGTCATACACAAATGGAAGCTATTTCCACTCTTCTTGTCGTCGTTGTCTACCTCTAATCCTTTCTGAGTCAAGGCGGGGTATAAATAGATGTTGATGTCACCAAGCTTTATTAAAAGGTATTTCTTTTGTCCTGGAATCTAGAGTTGCATGGAATGCTTTAATATAACCTTGTAGAGAAATATCGAGTAATTACCATCACACAGAAGTATTTTAGCAAGTCTTGCCCATTCTTACCCTGTGCTGGCATGAAAGGAAAGCCTACATTTTAATTACTGGCCTGCCATGTCTCATTACTGGTATCTGCAAGGCTTTTCTGAGCAGAATACAAGGATGCAACAGTAGTTTATTTTGTATTTGTTTTAATTAAACATCAGCCCTGATCTTGACTTGTTCAGTAGGTAGTTAAAGCAAAACTACTGTGCTGTAAAGTGATTTCTGAACCTCTTTGTCTAGCCCCAAATACATTTGGTCTGAAAGTGACTCCCCTGTCTCTCTCCTGCCATGAGTTAATTGATATCACTCCTGCTCAAGGCTTGACAGCTGGAGGCTGCCTGTCGCGTGGGTGAGCGAACACGCAGCACCACCCTGGGAAGAGGAGCTGTTGGGGATTCTCTAAATGTGCGTGGACCGGTGAAGGATATCATTGAGTTGGTGGAAGGACAGGGCAATTAATGGTGTGCACAAACCTGTGTGATTTTGGTGGTAAGTGCCATTTCTTCTTGCCCAGTAGGAGATGGAGGGCCAAATCTTGGTTCTGGTCAAACTGCCTTCTTCCTTAACACTGGGAATTGGGGGATGGTGCCTTTTTATTTCTTACCTTCTTTCAATAAGTATGGTTTCTTCTTTTTTTCTTTTTCTTTCTTTTTAAACATTTTTTTCTCTTTCTTTTTGTGTGGTGCTGGGAATCAAATCCAGGGCCTTGTATGTAGTAGGCAAGCCTGTAGCACCGAGCCACAACCCCAACCCAAGGAACCCAGTTCCTGCCATCTCTGACAGAAGATGCCCTCCTGGGAATCTCTCATCCATTAACTCACTCAGTGTGAGCAGGGTGCTGTGCTCAGCAATGGGCCAGGGTAGAAAGTTAAGGAGATGCTGCCCAGCCCCACCACACGCAGGTAAATGAGAAGCTCTGTGAGGCAGAACTTCAAAAGGGCTAGACAGAGCTGCCCAGAGGAGCACAGAGGAGTCCAGAGAAGCTGAGGATTGCTGAATCATACGTGTGGGTGCCTCAGAGTTCATTAGTACCAGTCAAAATCCACAGGTACTTACTTGGTTCCTGAAAACTAAGTAGCTCATGTTAAGTAATGTAATTCCCCAGGACCATTTTAACTTTTAATTAAATGTCATTCTGCAGGTTCTTTGGATGAGGTATTGACACTTTTGGCATTTGAAGTATGTCAACTAGATATTGGATAAAATGTTGGAGGGTCTTTAACAAAAAGAAGTCTTCTATAAGATAACATGCACTCTATGATTACAACTCTATAAAAATACCTACAGAGCCAGCATCCAGGTAGGCACATGCAGGGCGAATGTGACTATTTTATAGTGGTGAGGTTATAGATTAATTCTTTTTTTCTTGGTACTGATGATTGAACCTAGGGGTGCTTAACCACTGAGCCACATCCTATCCTTCCCCTTTTTAATATAAATTTTATTAGAAATAGGGTCTCTCTGAGTTTTGCTAAGTGCCTCACTAAGTTGCTGAGGCTGGCTTTGAACTCATGATCCTCCTGCCTCAGCCTCCTGGGATTACAGGTGTGGGCCACCATGCCTGGCTATAGATTAATTCTTTATGAAACGTTTTTAAATATTGTTTTGCCTCCAACTTAAAGAGAGAAGAAAAAATATTCTGATATAGCTAAAACATTGTACTTAAAAATCAATTGGAAGAACATCAGTGGTGAGGTTCAGAAAGGGAAACTTTAAAATAACTCAAGAACTCATGGAACTTTCAGCATTTAGGAGAGGCTTTTAAAACAGAAACACATTTTTAGGAAAATACAGGAAGGCTTTGAGAAGTTAGTATGTCCTGGCCATTATAGACTTGCTATTGATATTTTGCAAACATCCGCGAAAAACTGAAAACACTCTAAGAAGGAACAAATCATCCATAGTTACACAAATGCCACAAACCAAACAATTTCTCCTTGTTATTCACCCTCTAATATTTATCCACCTGTATACAACATTTAACAGCTTTGGGTAGATACATTTTATTCTGTATCTTTTCCCCCACAAAAGACTATAAGCATTTTAAGGCAATACTATATTATCTCAAATACTTGAAAAAGGGCTTACTGACTACATTTTAGAACCTGTTTTTTTCTGGAACATTTGTTGAACTACTTGGCCTTTTCTTTAAAACAACAACAACAACAAAAACAACCTTTGAGACTGTAGAAGCTATATCCGTCTTGTTGAATTAAACAACTTTGACATTGAGATGAGGAAAGGTGACCGTCACAGACGGGCCTGCCTTGCTACCCCTCGGGGGGATGTGTGGCAGAGATCCTGCAGCCGAGGGCTCTGGTGTTCCTTCTGTTGCTTCAGAGCCTTTGATTCTGTGAGGCTGACCTTGTGGAATGTAGAACTGGACGTGGAGACCCAGCCCACTCAGGGCCAGAACCCTCTGGGCTCTTGTCCTGGTGACAGAGTAGCCATGTGGAAACACAGGTGATACTGTTGTTTAGGATCAAGGGTCTGCCTGCCCAATCTTGCTCTTTTAAAATAAAATTGAGCTCCTGATCATTTCCCGTTCTGCCATGATTTGATCTCCAGAGCCCAGTTGCACCGTCCCAGCCTGGCCCTGGGTGAGCAGAAGCCTTCCTGCTTACACTGCAGCCATGGAAGCAGCCCTGCCACTGCTCCAGGCACTGCCTGCTGCAGTTGGGGACACAGCACCATCTAGTGGGAAGAAGAAAAAGCCCATTGTTGCTCTTTTTTTTTTTAAATTAGTGGAGAACCATTGAAATGGACTGCATCAACTGTCCTCATTCAACACCCAAGCAAACCCAGAAAAGAAAATGGATTTCCTGAATGTCACACAGCCAGCCAGTGGCAGTTCTGATGCTACAGAGTCCCATGAACTGAACCTTGGTTCAGCATTTGAGGTAGGTAAGGAAAGCAGAAGGTGAAAAAGTTTCTGATTTCAGTTGCATGGCATTTCGGACCTCAGCAGAAGTGGAGGAGAACATATTCTGGCACTGGAGCCTGAAGAAGAGTTGTCAGTCTCTACTGGCTTACAGAAGGCCCTCCTTCCAGTCCTGAGACTCAGCAGAAGATAAGCCCGCAGGAAGGATGCTGGGGTGGGGAGCAGGAGGTGCCACAGAGGGTGCATGAGGGTGGAGGAGGGAAAGAGCTTGTGGGATGCCAGCCAGCCTCTCCTGGCCCCTCTCCCCAGCTCAGCAAAATTTGAGCCTCTCGTCTCGGCCCTACCTCCTCTCTCTCTTCGAAACCCCTGCAACTCTGAGCTCCTGTTCTGCAAGTGCATATCTTCCCAGATCCCAAACAAGGGGTGGGGGGCCAGCACCCTGTTTTCCACTCTCTAGATACTCTGTGGCCTTGATTGAACTAGACTTCCATGAGGATCTGCGTGGCTCTCAAGCCTTTCAGCCAATCTATGGCTAAAAGACACGAGCTCCGAGTAGACTATTACCCAGGATTGCGAAGGGGGAAATCACACTGCATTATTCAGTGTCAGCTGGAGGGGTGGAGGGAAAGGTTAAAGCCATTGCCTAGCTCATTCCTTCAAAATAAAATCCAAAATGTTGACGTGAAACATATGGCTGTTCTTGGGGCGAATCTTAGCCTGGTTTCCCGTGGCGATCCTACGACAGCATCCTCTGCCTTCAGAGGCTGGCCCTTCCCTTGACTCCTGGCCTGTGTCCCAGCAGGAAGGACAGACAGCCCATCCTTCTTTCAACACGGGATGGCTTGCAGAGCCTAAAGCCGTGGGTGTGAGTGCAAGGGCGGGCTGTGACCTTTCAACTCACTCCTTTGATTTCATTTTTCAAAAAGCTAATTAGAGTTCAGAGAAGTTTTATGCCCTTTGTTTTTCTAACCTAGAGAATCTGACTCAGGGACTTTTGTGGACTGCAATGTCCCAAACTGGCCAACACTGGACAAAACCTTTAATGCCCAGGGCTGAGTCACAGTGTAGCATCTCCTCGGCCTGGTTTGCCCCAAGCAGAATGTTCTCTCTGTTCTCCAAACAACAAAGCCTGCTGCCAGGCAGCCCCCGGCCAGAAAGCCCGCCCCAGCCAACTTCCCTTTCACCTCTCCATGGTCGCTGGCCTGCGCCCCAAAATTCATTCTCCTCCAGCATGCTTGTTTGGAACCAGGCTTGGATGCAGCGTCTGGGAGTCTGTTGAGATGCGGATGCGCAGACAGGCCTGCTTTCCAGCCCAACACATCCTGGAAAAGGAGTTGTGAGGAACATCTTCATTCTGCAGACCACATATCCCAACAGGAACGCGGTTATTATTGGGGTGCACATTTAACCAGAGACCAGGCACCAAATGCATCAGTGAGATCCAGCAGTGTGTCATCAAAGCCAGCGTGCCCTGAAATCTCTGTGATCATTCATCAGAAGTCTGTGACAAGCCTTTTTCTCTCCTTTCCGGCAGGGCCCTCAGCTTGTTCTTCTGTGTCCTGAACTGTGCTGTCTCTGTCCAGTCGCACCTGCCAGAGCACCTACCTTCTTTGCTGGCCTGGCCTTGATCTTGACGTTGTTAGCCCCGTATTTGCTCCACAGGATCTGGCTTTTCTTCTTTCGCCACCAAATTCTTCTTGTTTCAAGACCTTTGAACAAGTTCCAGATTCCCATGTCCTTCTCTCCCCCACCTTTATGTTGACAATCTTCACTGTGACAAGCAGCCTCCCAGATCATCTTGTCAGCCTCCCTCCCACCTGTGACACCCAGGCTGCGGTCAGCATGTAGAGAGGGTCCCTGGTCAACACCTACAGGCAAAGCCCTAAAACCATGGGAATATACCGCAGGCCCATGACCCCTCGAGGGGAAAGGGAAGCTAAATGTGGCTTTTAGTCTTCCAGAAGGTATTTATTGAGTTCTTTCTGTGGCCAGTCACTTTCCAAGGTGCTCAGGATATAGGTGTGGCTAAAATCGATAAAAATTCCTTCTCGTGTGCAGCTCCAGAGTCAGCCTCCATGGCATTCATGTAATGAGTGGAAATAACTTTGGCTGGGGAGTCAGGAAGTCTAAGAGCTCACCTAGATGCTTCTACCAAACAGCAAAGTCTCGGCTCCCTCTCTGATCCAATCTGCTCGTCCCTTCAGTGAAAAGATTGGACTTGGTCACCTGTGAGCACACAGAGCTGCGACTATCCATTTAGAGCGCAATCCTGGGCTTTTCATCCAAGAGGGTAGAGCTCCCTGCTCCTCCTTATGTGGAACATTCCAGCCAGTTCCCCTCTCCGCCCTCAGGATTCTTTTCAGCTTTGATTATTCCTTGGTCTTAAGAAAGAAAGAAGGCAGAGCTCTCTGTCAGCCTGACTCACCTGTCTTCCTTATTACCTGTGTGCCTTCCCTCTCCATTTCCGTGTGGTCACTAACATTTTTCAAGAACAGTTAATTGAACCTTTCTTCCAAGTGGTTTTTATGGGTGGAATGCTTCTTTAGGGTCACTGAGCTGCCTATGGGGGCATCTGTTCCCTTGAGCATGCTCAAGGAAGCAGTGGACAGATCACAGGGAGGGATTCAGTTCAGTTGGTGCAACAGAACCACTGGAAACCAATTAACAGGCTGAAAAACCAGCAAAAGGATGGTGGCCAAAGAACAGGCACCCCGTGGTAGACAATTACCAGTGTGGGCAGGGACAGCGATGTAGGTCAGCTCTCAGCCAGGAAGTAGTTTTGCAAGTGCAAAATGTGAATCCCTTCTGGAAAGAGAATCTAGGTAAAGGTTTTCTTTCTATATTTGGGCAGATGACCACCTGGTTGCCCTGCAACCCCCCTTGCTTTCTGAGACAGCTGGTCTTGGCTTCCATCTACCCTCAAAAAAAAAAAAAAAAGTTCAGGCCCTTCTAACTTTGACCTTCTGGTTGATGATAAAGGGACTAGCTTTATCATCTGCCTCAGAGGCTGGGCCTAGGTTCTAGGTAGTGTACCCACATTGTACTCTATGTTTTGAGGACACAATATTTTTTGGCACAGGTCTGGTAGATTTTTTTTGTTTGCTTATTTTTTCTGAGAGCACCCTTTTCAGCAACGATGCTATGATACTTGTAAAGATTTTACCAGTTGTAGACAGGTTTCTGGGGTATTGGAAATTGATCAACATCTAGGCATTACACACTATTCTGTCAGGAATTTGACCAAGGAGAAGGAGAAGATCTGGGGGTCAGAGGTGGTTGTTTGGGAAACTGAGCCCCAAAGCCGGTAGGTGCTCATATGTGGAGGCTCAGTTTGGTGAGAGCCACTGTGACCATCAGTCTCCTCACTTGGCATGGGGCAGGCTCCTGCAGGCTCCCACATTTACTCTTCCTTTGCTCCTCAGAAAGGTTTTAGGAAGTAGGCAGGGCAGGTTAGTTAATGTCTTTGCTTTGTGGATAAGGAAACAGAGGCTTGGGGCTTGCATTTGCTAAGTGTGCCCAGGATAGCCAAGGCTGGAGCAAAGGCCCTGAGGCTTGGGTCTCTCCCCACGCCACAGCATGTCTGGATTGTTTTCTGACAAAGCCCTTGCCTGACAGGGCAGTTGTACTAATGAAAATGTATTTCTGGGGTCTAGTTGCCAACCTTGTTCTAAGAAAATGTGGAGCTTCTGTGACTGTGAAACTTGGTAGAGGCTACTTTCCTTAAGAGACCAGAGCCACAGAACCCTGACAGGCATTTTGCTATGTGGTTCCTGACTCTGCTTCTACAGGAGGAAACTGTGTCTCCTAAATATCCAGGGCTCCCCAGGATGCGGGTTACCATTTGGAAGTTCTTCAGACACTCGGTGCTCTGATCCGCACCCCAGTACATCTCTGCCCAAAGGCTCTTTCCCTTGCTGACACATTTTTGCCTCTGGATTATATGGGAGTGTTGGCTGAACCCCCAGATCCTTCCTGTCTCAGGCCCTGCCCATGGGGAAATGCTCTGGCATATGGCCCTACTGATGGTGAGACTTTCTGCTGATTTTTTTCATAAAAGAACAAAGAACTGTCCTCCTCAACTTAGCAACACAAACCTCCATCCATGAGAAACACCTGCTCACAGTGAGCCCTCGGACGTTTCTTAAAATGGTCCATGAGAAATTTGCAAAGGCCGTTGTCTAGGAGCCTTCTAGTCTTGCCTCCCTCTGCCAGCTGAGTGGTCTTCCTAAGTGAATACCGGAGAATCCTGCTTCGATTCATTTCTGACCAGTGGAACTAGCCGAAGCTCACACTGTCCCCCCACCCGCCCATATTGTTCCATTTGGTAAATGCTTGGCATGAAGCAGCTTCCAGGGCCTTCTTCAGGACTCATTATGGAGGGGTAAATGCTAGAGGTGAAGGAATTCATTGTGTGCCTGTAGGAGTCTAATGTCTTTTTTAGACTAGGAATTGAGAAGTGTGACTAATGAGCACCCTGTAAAAGCCACAGACCACCTCATTAAATGTTAGAGTCATTTCCCCGGTTGGGTAGAAATGAAAATCCTCAAAGAAAGGCCACCTCATCAATTAATGAAGAACTTTTTCTTTAAGCATGGTAAATATTCAAAAGACATTTTGGATAGTCAAAGAGCATTTACCAAAGACCTTAAAAACAAAACAAAACAAAAAAAAAACACCTTGATTTCTGTGGGGCTGTGGAGGAGAGTGAGGAAGGAGGGGATCTGTGTACATGGCCTTCTGCCAAGGAACAGCTGTGGGTGATTTCAGGGTTCAGGAGTTGTATGCTATTTCTGCCTTCCCTGCAAGGACCCTTCTATCCTGAGGGCTTGTGTTTATTCTTCTAGAACCCACCATAGGGTTCTAGAAGAATAAACACAAGGGAACCCACAGAAATCACAAACCCATGTGCCTGGTGCACAGCAAGGGTTTGGGTATTTGCGTCCTGTGTTACATAACATTATTGGGGTCAGAGGTGTGTCCCTTTTTGTAGTGGGGAAATAGTGGCAGAGGTCAGGGAGAGCCATTGCCCTCTGGCCACTGCAGAAGGTTCCTTCTGTTCTGGAGCTTGTCCTGCACAGGCCATCCTGACTCTGCGACAGGTTGGAGGAAGCCCAAGGCTGCACATGGATGGTCAGGGGACAAGAACTTGTACTCTTAGGGTTGCAGCCGCAGCCCCCATGTGTCCCTGCTGGCTGGGTTGTGCTAAGGCAGCAGAAGCTGTGGCTGTGCTTTATAAAGAACCTCGTTCATTGCCCAGTGCCTCGGAGCAAGGCCATGCTGCACATTCTATCACAGCTTCAGATTTGACCCTCCATCCCTGTCTCCCTGTCCAGGTGGTGTCCCCTCACTTACCCTCACATGACCTCTAGAAAGGCCTTCTTAAGGCCAGCTCCTGATTTGGACCATGACACACCCCCATTTAAAAACCTCTGCTGGCTCTCCTTTGTCTCCAGGGTCAAGTCCACACACACACACACACACACACACACACACACCGCTTAGCGTGCCTTCAGGTCCCATGGTGATCACGTCTAACACTCTCCAGGAAGGACAAGTCCCACCACTCTGAACTCACTCAGCAGCAGGGCAGGCCTCTCCTGAGTTCCAGTTCAGCACACACTCTGCCCGCTGCCTGGAAGGCCCTCTCTGCCCTCTTTGCTTGGCAAACTCCTGTTTCATCATTTAGGACTTGGCTTCAGAGTGATCCCCTCTGCATGGCTTCCTGCTGAAACCTGCTAGGCTCTTTCATGTACTAGCCAAAGCACTTTGTCTCCTCTACAAACAGGGAGCTCCTCAGGCAGGTGTGAATCCATCCCTGTGGCCCAGGGTGGAACCCGACGCATAAGTGACATTTAATGTTTGTAATGTATGTATGTATGGAAGGCTAGGATTTCCAGCAATGTTCGGGCTCGAATCAGGCAAAATAATTTATGTGTTTATGTGACCTAAGAAATAAAAACTGGTCCAGTGGGCAGGAGGGAGGACTTGGGGAGTTTCTGTCCCCATCTTAGGGCTCTTTTGTGCCCCAGTTCTGAGCAGGACCCTAGGGCCAGTAGGTTGTTGTCATTTCTCCAGCTTCATATGCTCCTTTGTGAGCAGGTGCCTCTAGCCTGGCGGAGGCCGGCTTGCCTCCTGGTGAAGAGCTGCCCAGGGCGCTCGCCTCCTGCCGTGGCTGCTGCAGGGCCTGGGTGATGC